AATTTCATTTCTGTTACTCTTGTTTTGTGAGTATTTTTATTCAGATTTCTATCTGGTTATGTTTTCTTCTTATTCGTCGGTTACAATAAACACAAATACACTTTGAAAAAGAAGATCAAAGCCACTGAAATCAACATAAACTCAGTGCCATTAAATCTAATTAAACGTTAACAGCTTGGGACAAGAGATGGCATTTTCCTCACTTTCTGAAGTCCTAGATAGGGAGGATGGATCTCCTTGGGGAGAGAGCCTGGGAGACCTAGGGGAGAAGGTCCTCTCCCACATACCAGAGAGCTCCACTTCTGGCAGTGGGGGCATGTTCAAAACAGCCCCACCTCCTGACCTAAATAACCAGATAGTTCCTTCTCAGGAGAGGCAACCCCTGAAATAGCCAGACCCTAAGTTAGATCCATTTAGGGCTTTGAAGGTCAATACTAGTATGGTAAATTGTGCTCCATAGGCAACTGGTAGCTGGTACATATCTTTCATGACAGGCATCGTGCGATCCTGAATATAGGCAACAGTCTGGCCACTCCATTTTGCACCAGCTGCAATCACTGAACACCTTTCAAGGATAGTCCGATGTGAAACATATTGCTATAGTCAAGATGGGTTGGGACCAAAATGTGGATAATGGTCACCACATTCAGCTGGCTCAGGAAGGAATGCAGCTGGCACAGAAGATCACTGTGTGAAGGCATCCCTCACCTCAGATGCCAACTGTTAAGCCAGTGAGGACATTCCCAGCCTGCAAATCTGCTCTTTCAGGTGGAGGGCAAGACCATCCAAAGTAGGCTGAAGCTCAGTTCTTGAGTTCAGTATCTTCTTTACCAACAACATCTTCATTGTGTCTAGATTTAACTCCAGCTTCTTCTCTTGTCCAGCCCATTATCAAAGTTAGACAATATTGGAACTGGAGAGTAAGGAGCAAGCATGTTGAGCTGTATTTAAGACACTCTGCTCCAAAGACCCCTCCCACTGGTTTAATTGTGGGACTCCATAACTCAAAGTCTAGATGTCAAACAATAGTTCCCCAGCAACTCATCACAGCCTGATAGAACAGACCAGTAGTATGGGACTTCAATGTCCTCAAGACCCAGTTCTGCTAGACCAGTGTTTCTCAACTTTAACGACTTTAAGATATGTTGACTTCAACTCCCAGTATTCCCCAGCCAGCATGGCTGGCTGGGGAATTCTGGGAGTTGAAGTCTACATATCTTAAAGTTGTTAAGTTTGAGAAACACTGTGCTAGACAGTCCAGAAGGATACCACAATTGATAATATAGAAAGCCACCAAGAGACCAAAACCAGCACCATTCAGGAGAAGCCCTGGAGGCAGTTGGGAGTCTAGGAATATTCCTAAACTACTGTCCTACTTTTTCTGGGAGACTACAGCCCTGCCCAAAATAAGCCTCCCCACAATTCTTTCAAGAAAAAAGACACTGAGAAATTGCGGGAAGTGGGAAATGGCTCCTTCAGTTTATAGAATGAGAGAGAAACTCAAAGCCTCCAGCTGCTAACAGACAGCCCATGAAACTTTCTTCTTTTTTCCAGCCTCAACATCCCTTCTCAGCAAAAAGGAGTGGTGGGATTTTCCACCATTTTTGAGGATGGAAATACAAACTGGTGGGGTTGCAAATTCTTTCTGGGATTCAGTCGGTTTGAAATGAAATGATTTTCTTGTCACGCTGTTTGCTTAACCACTCTCTTAACACCCATTTTAATCCACCAAATGATTCATCATTACCTTGAGGACATCCCCAGCTTCCAAGTTGAATGCCCTGGCTTTAAGCTGAATTCCTTTTCCTGGCTGTGTCTGGATGGAATAGATACATTCGTGGTGGTTGTTGTAGTTTAGGGGATAATTTGGGGATAAGAGAACACCTTGAGTCCCCGTCACAGAAGAACCACATTCCGCTACAGAGAAAGATGCAGAACGATTGAACGTTAACAGATGGGGATATACCAGTGCTATAAAATCCATACCTTGGTTTACTGTCTCTGCAAACACTGATGTGGGCCTACTGCACGTCCCTCCTTACACATGGAGTCTTGGGTTCAACAGAATTTAGAAACTAAAAGCTGGATCACAGAAATAAAGAACCATCTTGTAAGTCAATCAAGACTCACATGTGCTCTACATCCGGACACCATAACGTGGTCGACCACATCCATCTGGCCGCATTCTCCTGCTCTATTACCAAGCAGGTTAACTGAAGATGGTGCTGTCCTACAAAATTATATCCCTGTCCCCTGAACCAATCCTCTCATTTTATCTCAGTTCTGCATTCCTTGACTATGCTAAGGAGCTGAACATGTCTATAACTTCTCAAGTTTTTTGTGTCCTTCCATGATATGTTAAAGCCAAAGAAGACAACCCGGTCATACTACCAGTTCCCAGAGAATGAAACAAAGTTGGTATATCAAATGAGAGAGCTGGAAATCTAGAGTTGGTAAGCGTCATTTAAAATATCAAGTTCAATGCCTTGCCGAGGGCAGGAATTGAAATAGAAGCAGTGCCAACATAAGAGTCTGCAGAGCAAAAACTTCCACCCATGCCAGTAATACCTAAGCCACTACTGTCAAACACATTTTTGCAGCCCCCAGAGCACTCCTGCCCCACTGCAATTGCCAATAATTAGTGTGAGGTTTTCTCCTTATTTTAGGGCTGGAAATAACACAGACATTTCATTTGTCTGAAAAAGATTAATAGTTTAAAAACTGAAAAAAATCTGAAAAAAAAATTCATTGAAAATCCTCCCCTTGAAGGGGGTGTCCACAGGGCAGTTGGGGGACAGAGTAAAAAAAAACTAGTCAAGATGTTGTGATGCATATAAAAAGGGATGGGTTTTGATCACACACAGCTGCTGTTTTGACTTTTTTGACCACCCCCATCTTGCCTCTGCCTCCTATATGTTAATTATAGTTCCTAATCATCGGAAAGTTGCACTGCTCTGTGTTGCAACAAGCAGTGTTCCCCATAATTCTATGCCTGGTCTGTCATCAGAGAAGCTTTGATTAGAAGAACTGCCCTCCAGATGTTTGGGACAGTAACGCCTAGTCTGTTGCCACTGGCCATGCTGTCTATGGCTGATAGGAAATTAGATCCAAAGCATTTGGAAGGGTACCTGGTTCAAACTCCTAGGCTTCTACAGGTGAGAGCAAGGGAGGGCAAGTGATGAAACTTGCACTGAGACATTGTGCCACACTTTTTATAAATTTTTCATCATCTCTTTGCGCAGCGTACTTCAACTCTCCTTCTATTTGAAGAGGACCTACTATGCCTGTGAGAGGATTCACACATTCCACAAACACCATGAGAGTTTTTTGGTTCTGGCATAACATGTGGTGTGAATCTATTCTAGATTATTTAACAAACCAGGGGTAGGCAAACCAAGGTTTAACCAATGCTACCGAGAATACTCCTTCATAATGCCACTGGCTTGTCTGCGATAAGGATATTTTTAGTATTAATGTTATGATTATTCCTATTGCTTAAGTTTTCGTACCCCATAATGAACAAAGCCCAGACGAAAAAGGAAATTTCCAAAATTTCTACATGACCACCCACAATCAAGTATAGGCTGAAGGCATTTTGGCATAACACCAATTTAACTGCTTGCCGAATGCAAGAAGAGTTGGAGCCCCACAGATCTCCAGGGGAATAGTGTCCTAAAGAGTGGAGGCTGTCATCTGGTCCATACCCCATGTATTTCACAAGGAAGGGGGACTTTCAACAGACCCTCTCTAGATGACAGGATAGGAAGGCAGATTCAATTCTGGCAAGGTCTTTTGAATCCATACTGAAAACAGCTGAAAATGTTGCACCCAAAGTAAGGATAAAAGCAGAACTTCATTGCTCTACTTCAGTGTTTCTCAACCTTGACAACTTTAAGATGTGTGGACTTCAGCTCCCAGAAGTCCCCAGCCAGCCACCTCCATTCTTTCCGCTGCCCCTGAAGCTTCTCTCTCTGAGTCCAAGTCATTCCCTGTTTTCTAGAAACCTCACAGCAACCAGCTTTTTTCCCCCAGTGGCCAATCACTGGTCGCTAATGGCTCTGCTTCACCTGAATGTGAAGACCTCACCTCATTTCAGGCTGACATAGCTTCCTACTAACATGCAATTTCCTATTTTCCTTGGGTCCCTGAGGTTTTTGAAGGGCAAAGTGTCAGAGCAACCTGCTACATCTCCCCTTTCAACACGCTGTCCTCCAGAGCAACTAGGTTTGCCCGATGTTACAGGTCACCAAGGAGGGCTTGCTGACATATGGAAAAAACAACTAGATAAGGAATGTAAATCCATGCAGGGCATAGTCAAAATAGTCAACAAGGCAGTCACAATGGCAAGATGGAAGCTTCACCCATTTTATGTGCGTTGTAGAGCTTTGATTGCACTGCTGTGAGCGCCATCTTGATTTTTTTGACCATACTCATGAATGCATGGGTGGTTGTGGACTCATTAATTTCTTGATGATTCAGAGTGAAAAAAAAAAAATCACCGAGGAAGCATTTCTGCAGCATGTTTCATGAGCAAGAAGAAATTTGCAAGAGAAGAAAATCATCATTGCTCAGTCTTTTTTGTGTTGGGATGCTCTGCAGTACACCACTGCCAGAATTAAAATGTATCTCCCTGTATTCACAGGAAATGTTTGGAGATGGGTATCTTGGTTTCAATCTCATAAGTTTTCCTTTACTTAAATCTATTTTTCCATCCACACTGTGGTTGGTGTCACACACTGCAGAACCAGTAAAACCCACCTCCACTCCCCTGGCAGCAACAGACACACTCAGACTAACCATTTGATCAGCTCCATGTCAGCCTGGGCTCCCCAGGCCTGCTGACATCTATGTGAACTCAGTTTTGTGCCTTCTTCAACAAACCATAGTTACAATGAACCAAAGCTCAATGCAGTACAGGATGGGAACTCCATCTCTGTGTGAGCTAAGCACAGCACAGGCACGTACAACTTCGAGTTTGGGATTGCTCTACAGATTTGCGTCTGCTTCTCTCCCTTCCCCTTCTTTTCTGACATTAACCATGGTGTAGAGATTCCCTCTCAACTTGGTTAATCAACATTAGCACAAATTTAAGATCTGCAGACCAGATTTAATCAACTCCCAATTATTAATTTCAACCTCCACTGTTGGGGTTACCTAAAAATTAATAACTGGGTGCTTGTTAAATCTGGTTCGCAAATCCTAATTTGTGATAACGATGGTTAACCTAGAGGTTTGTGCAGATGTCATGCGGCCTATGCTCCATGGCTTTGATTGCTTTTCCATCCCTCTGAGGTCAAAGGGCAATTTAGCACACGGACAGTGCAATATAATATAGGGCCAGGATTCCAGGCTCCTGGTCCTGGTCCTTCACTCAGCCTTTGCACCTCCTAATGCTCCCCAGAGACCAAAACCAAGAACGGCCAGAGGACAATAAGCAGCTCGCCCAGGGGAAGTTCTGATAGACTAGACTGCCCAAGCAAAATTAAAGCACGTGACCACCTACCAACACACCTTGGCAGAGGCGAACTCCACACACGCCGTCTACCGCCCAGGCAAGTAATGCTTGAGACACCTTCTAGTCGGTACCCAGGGAAGCAGGAGAAAGTCAAGACGTCCCCCACTCCAAACTGAAGACCCTTGCGGATGCTGTAGATCGGCACTTCCGGCTCATCACAAGGTTCTAAGTCATATTCTGATGGGCAGAGAAACACAAGCAACCATTGGGGCGTTACCCCCAAAAATCCATGCATTTTCTTCTTTTTTATCTGAATACTCACTCAGATAGACAACTTCCACCTTTAAACAGTGGATGAAGTTCGTACAAATGAACGTTTCTCTATCTCCCTCCCTCCCTCCCTGTCATTTATAACCTGCATGTCAACATCTTGAGTAAGATAGGCTACAACTTTTTTCTTGACCACACAGTACTAATCCTCTGTGCATATGACAGTCTGCCATTGTAAGGGCTTAATAATTATTCAGCATTTTTTGGGGTGGGTGGGGGGGACAGGTTGTCATTCAATCTG